CCCAAAGATGGTGCGTAGACGTCTGTGCACACTCGCATTGTAATAGTAATCGTTATGGTTATGAATCGAAATGTCGTAGCTTCGTCGTGTTAGTGATTTTGGGTTTTTATTGGTTCGAGACCGAACCAATTCGTTTGACAACGACTTTTGGTATTGTAGTATATTGTATTTCGTCGACAAGCGTGGTATCATCAATTGGTCAAATTGCATATATTAACTAGCCTTGAAGATTTTCTGTTTTTCAGCCCCTCCTTAATTGAAGAATTTACTCTTTTTACCCCTTTATAAAAAAAAATTTCCGGTTTGGTCCTTAAATCAATTTTCTTGACATTTTTATACCAAAAAATTATTGAAATAAGTATTTTCCAGCAAATTTATCATAGAAAAACAGTTTAAGCCCTTGAAACTTCAGTCTTCTCGGTTATAGCCCCTTTTTTTCGCAACTTTTACATTTTTGACCCAATTTGGAAAAAATTTACAATTTTGGTCCCTTTTAAATTTGGAAAGCATTTTAAACCTTTGAAAAGCATATGGAACACTTTTAGCCCACTGTTTTACAGAAAAATGCAGTTTTGGTCCTCCAATTTAGAAAATTTCGCATATTGGGCCTTATTGGGCCGAAAATGTCATATTTATCCCAATAAGCTTGGAATTTATGTTTTTAACCCTCTAAATAGTATATTTTCAGAAAAATACATTATGTAAACTGTTTTGGTTTATCTCACCCATCAGATTTCGAAATGTTTCATATTAGGCCCTTCAACTTTGTATTTTCAACATTTTATGTCAAAAAAAATGAGTTTTTAGCCCAAGTTAAGTGGTGTTAAGCTATTTAGCCATTTTCTTAGTATACTTTGCATGTGATAGTCTATTTTGTGCTATGATAAAATATATGTCTCGGTTTTTAGCATATCACCCTAGATCTATCAATAAAATCATACAAAACATACATGTAAGCATAGAAATCAACCACAACATACACATAATGATGGATCTTCACATTTTCTTGTATTCTCCCCCATAAAAACTCATAAAAATCGAAAATAAGGGGATATGAAACTCACCTTGGGTGTTGATTTGGTTTTTGAAGAAGGAATAGAAGAAAGTTTGGTGATTTTCGGCCTTAGCACCCCTTGATGAAGATCTCGGCCTTGAAGTGTTTCTAAGATGCAAGATCATGATTTCTCATGAATTAAGGAGAGGTATTTGATAGATCAAGGAAGCTAGATCATAGAATTAAGTAAAAACTTACCTAAGATGATGTTAGTCTTGCAAAATCCCTTGAAATCCCCTTAGAATTTTCGAAATTTTTGGAGAGGAAGGAGAGAGTTTCTTGAGAGAATTTAGAGAGAATTTGTGAGGTGTGTGTGTGTGTTGGTTATCCTCGGCCGAAACAAGAAGGGAGAGGGAGAGAGAGAGGGAAGAAAAGACCTTGAGGTGATGCTTGCATGGATGAATGAGATTTTTGCATGGAGAACCTATGGGTAAAAATGAGGTGGCAACCCAAGGTCAACTCTCCCTTTTTCCTTGGGCTTGGGCCGAGAATGGGGAGAGAAGAAGGGATTTTTGGGCTTGTTGCCCCTAAGTCCAACATTAGAGGTAGTTTAGGGTGCTTATTGGCCTTATAAAATAAAATTGTGATTTTTATGCTTTATTAAGCTAGGTTAGGTTAAATTATGGATCAAAGCTTGTGATTTATTTCATTCTAGGTTCTACCTAGCCCAAAATATTGAAATAAATGAATGTGGGTCCGATTAGAGCCCAATTAGAGTTCTAAGTCCATGATAGTCTTATTGGAGGCTTATTGGTCCATTTGGATCCAATAAGAAAGTTCTAGTCCAAAATGGACTTAACAAGAACTTCTAGGGTCTTCCAATTGTTTGATGACTATTTGTAGTACTTGTATAATGTATTTGATTGAAGTTTTTGATTCACATTAGTTTGAATGTATGGATTACATGACACAAAATTTGCAGTTGTGACACACTAGACCAAATTTTGAGAAGACGATGCATGTTCAAGACTCGTCTTTTATTTTGATATATTATTTTTGGTGTCTTAGAACTACACACAGAACACACAAGTATGAACTATATTATTAATGCAATAGATGTGTTGTTACTTGTTTTACTATTGTGCATTGTTATGATACAATACATGACGTCTTCCGCCCCTGAACGCTTCCACAGTTCCGGTTTGGGGGTGTGACATGTACTCCATCCCCCCATGGTTGACTTATTTTACATGTATTGCTGAGAAATCCCCTAAGCAGTGTTGTCGCCCCCAATGATGATCCTTAAACTAGGTCCCTTGTGATAGGTGTTTAGGGACGTAAAGTGAGGATAACGGGAACGGGTAATCAGGAATATTGTTGGTTGATGAAATTAATAAATTTATTTATTACGGGTTGAAAACCCTATATGTTCACCAGGCTTCCAAGTCTAACCCACTCAACTTTTTATATTACATGTAGTGGACCCAAAACATAGTTGGATGATGAAGATGGATTTTTTGGATTATAGACCATTAGATGTAAATATCTGTTGTAAGGTCTATAATATACTATTTATGCTTTTGGTCTGTATCGATGTGGACATCCCGAGTGTTGTAATGAAATGAAAAATACATTTATTTAAGAAATGTTTTGATAAAATTTTATCATATTTTATTTTGGAACAAATTCCGCATATTTTTATCGAGGAGATTACTCTGATTTTATTTTAAAAGCATAAAACTAAATCGGGTTTTTCTGGCCAAAAAATTGGGGGATGTCACATAGAGGTACCCCATAAAGGCTTGATCCATAATTAATCCCATAATATAAATTTATTATGATGTAAATATTATATATTAAAAACTATATGTATTCATATATAATAATTCAATAAAAAAATAATTCCTCCAAAAAAATAACTAAAATAAATTAATAATCCAACAAAGCAATATTTATTATTATATAATATTATATATTGACAATAATATTTATTAATATATTATATTTCAATAAAAAAAATGTATGTAGAAATGGTTCTTATACATTTATTGTATGGTAAAAGACAAAACAGTGAAAATGATCCATGTATGTATAATTGTTATTTTAAAAAAGCTAACAATCAACTAGTTAAACTTAACGGAAGAGAGACCAAAATCATAACAAAACTTATTAACAATGATCAAATCTACAACTTTTCAAAAATTTGGATCTTAACCACATAAAATAAAAAACTACATGAAACATTTTTACAAATTTGTCTCTAAAGAATTATTGTTTAAACTACGCACGATCTTAAAAACCTTGTTAATAACAATGACAAAATAATTTTAACTAGTGTAGGATCCCATGCCCTGCATGGGTTAGATGGGTGTTTATTTTTTTTAATGAATGTGTATGTTTGGAGGAATTGAAAGGATAAAATGGATGGTAAGATTGGAAAAGCTTTGTACAGATAACATAGTATTCCATTAGAGAAGGCATACAAAAGATGTTAGTTACATACATAATATTGAAGTGTGCCTATATTAAAAAAACAAACAATCACAACCAATTGCTAAAAAAAGATAAAAATACGAACAACTATGTAGTCAAAAGTGCTAGTCTTAGGATCGGTCTTGGCAAACAATTTCTTTTAAAAGTGAATAATTTTTTTGTTTGGCTATATATATATATATATATATATATATATATATATATATATAATATATATATATATATATATATATATATATATATATATATATATGGGTAAAGTGAATATACTTAACAACATTATATAAGCTTAGGTACCTAACCACATTATACTACATTGTTTTGCATTATATTTCCATTGCAATCGTCTAAGGTTCTTAAACTTCAACCCTTAACTTGGTTTACTTCCAAGATTTTCAGACATTCACCATTATATCCCTCCTACTCCATTTGATTTGTAACGGTAGTATATGAAGCCCACCAGGCGGCCTCCGATAGAAATACGTCATTTGAAGAAAGATAATGGTGAAACTCCAAAGATTTTGGAAGCAATCAAGTTATGAGGTTGACTTTTTAAGAACTTTGGGTGATTACAATGCAAATATGATACAAAATTACGTAATATGATGTGGTTAGGTACCTAAGCTTATATAAGGTTGTTAGGTATATTCACTTTATCCTATATATATATATATATATATATATATATATATATATATATATATATATATATATATAGTGCATGTGAAAGAAAATTAAATATGTTTACATGTAACATATTTACTTGTATATCTTAATTTGATTAAAAATGGTCATGATAGGCAGAGAAAACATTGTAGAAGAAATGGTCCCTTAGAAAAAAATTATTACATAAAAAATCCTTATAGCAGGAAACTGTTTGAAAGATAGTCCACGTGACAGGAAAAACATGACAAAAATGATCCTTTTATGAAATTGTTGCAAAAATGGTCCTATTGGCAGGAAACAATTAAAGATGGCATCAAAATAGTTTCACCATAATCGATGATTGAGTTAGACACCATTGACACATCACTTAATCAGTTTTTCTCAAATTGATAGATATTGTGATAATCAATTTAGAATTTTCAATTTTGTCACTTGAAACCAATATGTTTTTCTGGAAATATCAGTTTTACTCCTATATGTTGGTTTTAGTTTCTAGCTACAATTATAAAATCATCTTGTGTTCACTAATCTGTGGTGTATAAAAGACATAAGGGCAAAATGGTCATTTCAATAAAATTTACAGCAAAGCAGTTAAATCTAAAGACACATCAAGCTTTCCATCCCCATCTTGGGGGGATTATTTCAGATGGTAGTTGGATTTTTCCTCTTTCACAAAATCAGTACAAATGAAAAGTAATGCACAACAAAAGATATGCATATCTTCTTAATATCTATAATTTCAACACTCCTAAATCCCAATCACCTATAAACTTTAAATAAATAGATATATATTAAACTCATTCAACTTTTTTCATAAAAAAGAAGTATTCAACTTACATTTCACTTGCATACCTCAAAATAGTTGACATAGTAACTTTCATTAAACTTTATGTGCTGCCTTAGTTGTAACCTGATAGAGTTCACCTAATTAATTATTCCAAAATTATAAAGATATAATGCAAATGAACAAAAAAATTATTTACTTTTACTTTTTTTTTATTATTATTATAGCAGTTTATAAAAAACAAATACACATCAGACTATGACCTTGCTGTCCTCACCAGGAGCTTGACAAGTGCTCCATCCATCATAATTCCATTTTGGCAGCTTCTTGGGATTTGCTACAGGTTTATGAAGTGTCTAACAGAAGAAAATCATAGTAAAATCGCTTAGATGATGATAAAAAAGACGGATTTAATAAAGAAAACACAAAGAAATCGACGTTTCAAACTATTTATTGTTGCTTTGCTTCGAAGATCCATACCAAATCCCCGGATCCTATAAGAGATTTCAAGAAATTTAGGATGTGTTTGGATATAATAATGTTTTTTCTTATGATGCTGAATCCAAAATTAAACAAAAACTTTAAGATTATCATACCAAGAATTGTGGAAATTACTAATTTATGTGCTTTTTGATGGTTGACCAAAAAGTTAACCTTTCAGTTTCAAGATAGTTTATAAGATCAGGTATGAAAAAAAAAAGCCCATAACCCATATTGTGATGTTTTGATCCATTCCATAATGGAAAAATAAAAACAACCCAAACTTTTCCTCTTATAACTTAAAACTATACTTTAACATGGAAATATAATTATGAGGCATAATTGACCTTTAATTATGACATAGCTATAGCATAAGTGACCCTCAAATATAAACCCAACCTAAAGTGACAATTATGTCTTTAAGTATATGTGTATTGTACCAATTGAAAAAATAATCACATGGGAATGTTTTATTTTAACAGAAAAGATGGTGTAAACAAACCTTACCAGAGCTTGGAAAATCAATATTACTTCCATTCTCCAACTGATAAGTGAAATAAAATCATATTGTTGTGCAGGTGATCGAAAACAGCACATACATCTCTAACCATTATCACCAAAGTTGATAGCATCAAGACCCTACAAAACAACAATCATAATAACTTAACAACAATATTAATCACAGTTGATTAATTAATTATTGCAAATTCAATCATTACTACCTGATTTGTGAGTGCAATAATGCAAGCAGTTGAGGATCCTTTAGCTTTAGTGTTGTGTAAGCTTTCCCCAAAACCCTAGCAAGAGCAGCTCACCCACCTACCCCATCTGCCACCCATATTGCTTGTTCACCAGGAAAAATGAAATGTGCATCTTCGCTACCTGCCTCCTCCTTCTCAGGGTGCGGTAGATAACATGATTCAGAAACCAGTTTCAATGATCTATCTGATAACGCCTTTATGTAATTATGAGATTATTTTACCTTCATATTTTTAGCAATGTAAGAAAAAAGAAAAAAGAAACATTACCCATCACTATTGGAAGAAGACGTAAGCCGATCATCACGCAGAGAGTTGTCTGAGAACACATCAAGGGTAGTTTCGGCATTTAGAAAAGTTGGAGATGAGATGTGGAAGCTTTTCCAGTCGATACCAAGAAACGGGTTGTTGCAGTTGGAATTTGTTTTGGCAACATGGTAGATGAGATATCCATAAAGAGAGAAGCTTTCTGATTATTTATTGTTTCTTGAATTCATTGTGATCTTGTGAGTGACTGAGGAATAGAAGCATCAGGAAGGAGAGGGTGCAACAGTGAGGCGCTAGGAAGAGAACGGTGAATGTCTAGTGGATATGGTTTACAAGAATCGGAAAGAAATACTCCCAAATCAAAAACAACACATGCCCTGAATCACAGAAAAACTTAGCCTTGAAACACATAACCTATGCGATGGCGGCTTCTCTCATGTCACCCTCCTCCATTCTTCTTTAATCTAAACTGGTCGAGTTGACCGGAGACGTAAAATCGAAACCAGAGCTGAAAATCATTGAAGTGACCAAAGAAAACCCAAATGAGATCGGTAGAGCCCTATAATAGAGAAAGAGTAGCAGATGGAATAATCCTTTTGCCTCAATCAGAAGACTATTGTGTCGAAGCCACCGTCGTGACTAGTGCAACGAAGAAGCGAGGGTGAGAGGGAGCGACGGTGAGACGAGAAGATGAATCGAGCCCGCGGTGGATGTCAATCGATCGGTAGTAGTGATGGTCACGACTACGGAGAATGTCGGGATCGAATTTTATCCCAAAAATTTGAACCGATAATTAAATAATGACGATGGAATTCAAGCCAGATAGATAAACGAGGGGAAGATTAGTGGAGCGGTGGAAGATTAGTGGAAAGCATCCATTGGTGAAGAAGGAGGCAAGCCGATGACTATTCAAAATAAGCCACAGCATGAAATCCAATACCAGTCATCACAAGCCAAACCACAAAACCCACCGGCTCCAAACTGGGACTGTAGACAAGCCCCTTGAAATTTAATTATATGTATAATATAATACCATATCTATCCATATTTTAATTGTACTATTATATTTTGTACAACTCGCAAAACCTAATTTAGAAAATAAAGAGAAAAATGAAAAAAGGGGGGCCAAATTGATAATTTTATCACTTTGGTGTCAAAAAAACACATGTTCGTAATAACAAGGGTCTTTTCAAAGTGGATGAAATTTAGTTTGTCTTTTTAGTCGTCAAGAAATCGATTCAAGCGAAAAAACCTCTACGGCTTCTAACACCAGACTCCCTTGACTCGTCAGTAACTTCCCGGCCGGACACTTTTCTCCATATCTTAACGGCGGCATCTCGTTCTTAACCGGCGCGTAGTGACTCAGGCGTCTTTCCGCCTGTATCCATCCTTTTTTTGGCGCTGGCGACGTAAGATTGCATAGCTGAGGTAACATATATCTCTCCCTTTCTCCCACCCCGCTGATTCATCTTTCGATTATTTGTTCTGGTACAAATCTCTCTTTCTATTTTCGTGCAAGCTGTTGTATGATCAGAATCGTGGTTACTTGTGTCATTATCAGTTCAATTTGAATTAATTATCGCAATAAGCATGATAATATTAAGTCGAACAAGTTTGTGCACAATCACATCGATATGTTCGATATTAAGTAAATTGATCAAGCTAATTTCGTTTCTCTATTCCAAAATATATTTGCAATTCATGTACTGAATAAGATCTATTTGATAATTGTATCGATTATTGCAATACTTGTTCTAATAATGTTTGTGTGGATTTTTATTTAATTTTTTTGTATCAGCAAGAAGGAAATGGAAGAAGAATTGGTCATGGATATTGGAGATGATCAGTTAGAGAAGATGGAGGAAAGTAATGCTGCTAATGTGGATGATATTGGGCATAAAGTAGATGATTTGTTCTCCAGGGTTGAGAAGGTGAAACATGGATCTTTTCTTACTTGATCTACAAGCATTTTGAATGTAAAATTCACATCTACTTACATTTATGCTTAGTTTTTGTTGGTTGAATCCAATTATGGCGTTTATATGTATACCCTGTCCTCTTGGTGATTGAATTGAATGTTGTTTTCATCTAGCTTTATGCTTTCTTGTTGCAGCTTGAGCAAAGAGTAAATGAGGTTGAGCAATTCTACTTGAACTCAAGCAAAAAACAATCTAATCCTTCTCAAAAAACCTCATTTGTGAAGGATAAAGAAAAGGGAAAGCATATTCCTGGATTCAAGAAACACCAACAAGATTTAGCACGCAGAGAAGCAGTTGCTGCTAAGAGAATGCAAGAGATTATGCGACAATTTGGCTCAATTTTGCGTCAGGTTATATAATATAAAAAAATAATTTCAAGAATGCATTTTTCTTTCTGGATTGCAAATTTAATTAGTGTAAATTCCATAATCATATTATTACAGATAACACAACACAAGTGGGCCTGGCCATTTATGCAACCTGTAGATGTTGAAGGTCTTGGATTGCGTGACTATTATGAGGTAACACTAACACCCATATATATAAATAGGTTTATAATATTTAATTAAAATAATTGTTGCATTAGGTAATTGATAGGCCTATGGACTTCAGTACAATAAAAAACCTAATGGAGGCGAAAGATGGGACAGAATACAAACATGTTCGTGATATATGTTCAGATGTGAGGTTGGTTTTTCAGAATGCAATGAAATATAATGATGATAAAAGTGATGTTCATATGATGGCTAAAACATTGTTGGAGAAGTTTGAAGAGAAATGGCTTCAGTTTTTACCAAGAGTTACTGAAGAGGTAAATGTAATTATTACAGTTGCCAATGCTATTTCTTGCATTTTCTTATTTTCTTAATTTATTTATGTTATATGAGTAGGAAAAAAGGCGAGAAGAGGAGGAAGCAGAAGCATTGTTGAATCTGCAGCGTGCTCAGGAGACTGCTCATGCTAAAATAGCTAGAGAACTTTGTAATGAGGTAAAAAAGAGTTTTTACTTATTTGTGTAAAAGTTGCACTAACTGACATTTATTTTATGTCAGCTTTATGAAGCTGATATGTACTTGGAAGATCTCCGAGAGACTGTTGTTCAGAAATGCAGGTTTGTAGGGCTATTTTTGTCTTTTTCAGAAAAGAGAGATCAAGAGCGAGTCCTTGTCCTATCTTTTTGGGTTGGACAAAAAAAATACAACTTTTGTGCAGTTGATGTCGGTCACAGTCCCTGTTTAATGAATGTCAAACACAGTACAACCTGTTTGTCTGTCTGTGTCTGTTAGGTGTAACAAACATGTAGAAGGTAAAAAAATAAAATAAAATATATATTCAGGAAAATGTCGATTGAAGAGAAAAGAAACCTTGGGATAGCTATGACTCATTTGTGTCCTGAGGATCTTAGCAAGGCGCTTGATATTGTGGCTCGACATAATCCGGGTTTCAACTCAACAGCTCTAGAGGTTGATCTTGATATTGATTCTCAGGTAAATGAACCGTGTAAATGACCATTTTACCCTTTGCTCAAAAAAATAAACAACTTTGTGTTATATGATAAAACAGAGTGAATCGACTTTATGGAGGTTAAAGTATTTAGTAAAAGATGCTCTTCTAGAAGGTCACAAGAATGATGAGGCGAATGATGCCAAGTGTCATGTGGGCCCCACCCAACCAATAAACACTACAAGAACGATTGCTTCCAAAAGGAAGAAGGAAATATGTAATGCTCTTGCTAGGACTGCAAAGAAAAGGAACCAAAAACTCTCTTCTTAAAAATGGAACATTTCGGAATATGGATCGCAAGGGGGTTTGTGGAATACTAGGTAAGATGAGAACATGGATGACTTATTTGACGACTAGGCTTTGTCGGTGGAAGAACATGAGGTTGTTGACATTGACCACTTTGAAGGCAACTTTTTGTATGTAATGTATCATTATATCATATTATCATGTATGCATGGATGATGATGTTAAGTGTCATCTTTCTCATTTGGTTCTTGATTCATTCATCATCAAACTATGCATATGTTGTTTGGTTCTATATTAGTACAAACTGGATTGCTAATTATGATAGAAGAGTCGGATTTGAATTTATTTTTTTAGATAAAATACATGGAATACCTAATGATATTCATCAATTCACCAAATTCTATGAAGGTCCCAAACCCTAACACTTGTGTATGAATCTAATAGAAGTGCGGACTAGTAAGACAAGTATTTGATAAATAAGAACCAATATTATTTATCTGGTTTTCACAATGAAAAATGTTCTCACCAAGAGAACGAGTACAGTCTAAGAACTCACCAAGAACTCCAGATCAATCTCTATATAAATACTAATCTAAATCTAGGAGATAAAATTTTTGTAGATTCACTAAATCTTCGTGTAAGTCAAATCCTTGATTTGATGAGAATGAATCTTATAAGATAAGAGTAGATCTAGTATATAAAGAATGGATCGGTTCAGATCTTCAGAAAACTTCTTCACCAAGTAAATCTGATCGGCTCTAGATCTGGATATTAGCTCTAGCACATCAGAGCATCAACATCAAGGTTAGGGAGATCAACTTTGGCTTCAGTGTCAGCGTCATGGAGTCACATACTGATCAACTTTAGCTTCAACTAGAGAGAATAACCATTAGCGTGTGTCATCAGTGTATCACATGAACAATGTATCATCAGTGTACGAACATCAACATCTGGACACACTGATCAGTATTCAGTGAATGGTGTCTTCGTGCTAATAATACTTTCTGTACCTTTGGTGCTGATAGAATTTTCAGGGTCATTTGCTCATCAGGAGATGATCTTCAGTCTTCGACATATGATCTTCCATCAACATATCTTCAGATTAACTAACCAAACAAACTCCGACAGATCAGTTTATCTAAGTTATATTATTTAAACTTACTTAGACAAGACTGGCTGTCTATAATGACAAGATAAACTATAATTATAATGTATATATTTTGCATCATCAAATCTATATAAATATGTGTCCTACCAATCTCATCCTATTTGATGATGTCAAAACCAAACTAATAAAGAATGAAAGAATAAATGAACTAACTCCATCTTAAGTAAAATGCTTATTTACGCTCCCCCTTAGATTCCCCCTAGATAAATAGCCTCTTTCTTTCAAGAGTGTTTACTTTTGTATTAATGATCAAGTGACAACCTACCAAAACTAAACATTTCTCCCCCCTTTTGACAACATCAATAAACACTGCATTTCTTTTACATTTTTTTAAGAAGATAGCAAGTAACCTGAAATGAAAAGAAAGTCCAAAATAACGTTAAATGATAAGAGAGGATTTAGTGTATCACACTATTGTGTTGTTGCAATAGTAGACCACTAACACAAAATTGCAAAGTCTCGTCATCGTATGGTTTTATACACTGAATTATTAACTTCTTTGATAGAAGCTTCGTAGGGCAAGAGTGGGTATGTATGTGTAATATACCACGGTACATGATATACCCATCAGCACAGATTTGTCAAGTTCTCATCAGCTTCTGGTATCATATGTTGAGTCATAAAACTTTAAAGAAGAAGATATGACAATAATGGATTGGTGTGTGTGATAGGCTACGATACATAGGCTAACCATCAACATAGATTTTTTAAACTCTCAACAACGTATGGTTTCATACTGTGACATCCCCAATTTCACGGCCAGAAAATACCGATTTGTTTATGCTTTATTTAAAATCAGAGTAACCTTTTGAAAAATAATATTGCGGAATTTGTTCCAAAAAATTATGATAAAGATATTATCAAAGCATTTCTGAATAAATGTATTTTAATTATATTAAAAACATTGTGATGTCATCATCAATACAATACATAAGCATAAACAGAAAAAGTATAGGCCTTACAAACATTTATTATTCTACTGGTCTATAATCCATAAGTCTCTCATTTGTTCATCACACATGTGCTCTTGTGCCACTACCTGTAATACAAGAAACTGAGTGGGTCAGACTTGGGAGCCTGGTGAGCACATAGGCTTTTCAACCCACAATAATTAAATTCTTTATTTTAATCAAATCATTTAACCCGATTACCCATTCCCGTTATCCTCACTTTCTGTCCCTAAAGCATCTAATTAAAGGGACATATCCTAAGGAGTATCTTCGCGATAGACAATAATGCTTAGGGGATTCCTCATCAATATATGTCAGTAAGGAAACCATGAGGAGGATGGAGTACACCTTGTGAACTATGCTAGCGTTATACTAGACTGTCTAAAATAGTCTGTGGTTGTCTTCTATACTACACTAGACAACTGGATCATCTTTAAAGTCAAGGACTCTTATCATTTATCTCATCTTTCATTTTTCATCATCTATATCATCTTTCATCTACCCATCATTACCTAACATAATTATAGGTATAAAATACATATATAGTTTAAATCAAGTAAAACATATATATCCCATTCATCCAACATAG